ACAAGCTAAATAAGTTTAGGTATCTCGCTGGCCATCTAATGCCACACTCAGTTTATATCCAGCATTCGAATGCTACTGCGCTTGTATTTTNAAAATTGGCCTTAAAATGAAGACTTCTCACGTTAATTCCATCAATTATAGCTGGACTTGGTAATAAATAAATAAAAATGTTAATGGTTGAAGAGAGTAGTGGTAGGGGAGGTGGGTTAAGTAGTTTAAGCGTTAGGAGGAAGGTCGCATGATCGTATAGAAACAAGTTAAAAGTTGATAGTGAGTGATATTATTGGTGAGGTTGAGCATGCTTCGACATGTTATCTGGAATACTAGGAATAAATATAAACAACCTGCTGTTGGATTAGATCATGTTTCAACAAGCTAAATAAGTTTAGGTATCTCGCTGGCCATCTAATGCCACACTCAGTTTATATCCAGCATTCGAATGCTACTGCGCTTGTATTTTTATTTATGGAATATGGCTCGCAGAGGTTGTGTAATTTCTCCCGACAACTTCTGTTATGTTTGTGGTGAATACACAGTGAAAAGTCAACAAAGAAACATAAGCGAGTTTGTGAAGAAACTTTAATTTGCATATTTCAAATTGAAACTTGGAAATCAAGACAAAACAGATTTTTGGAAACAATGGGAGAAAAGGAAAAAGAAGCCTGGGGCTCTTTCAAGAATGTAGTGCATAAGTTTTGGGGGAATACTAAGGATTCTGACTACAAAACCATTGTACAACGCATGCTGGCAGCAGCATATGAAGCTCAAGGATGAAAGATGAAAAGTCCATTTCTTACACTCCCATATTGACTAGTTTCCTGAAAACTTGAGGGCCTATAATGAAGAACAGGGTGAAAGATTTCAACAGAATGTCCGTGATATCGAGAGACGTTATCAAAGAAAACGGGATGTCAATATGTTAGCTGACTACTGTTGGATGCTCAATCAAATAACCAGAGAAGGAAATCGGAAACGAGTTTGGAGAAGTATCAAAAAAAAAACAAGAAAAAAAGGTTTCATAAGAAAAAAGACAAGGCCTAGAATTGTGTATAAATATCAGAAACAATTTGTTGATTAGTTGTAAGAAAATATAATATATTTAATTCATTGTAATAAATAAGTGTTTTTATCAAAAATATGTTTTTATTTTGCAAAAATCTTTACGTGATGGGATGTAACGGAAGTTATTTTTAGAATCTGCGATATTTAAAACATATAATTCAGCAAAAATATTCCATGCAGCTGGAAAAAAAATTTTTTTGCAGACCTGTGTAATTAATGTTATTTTTCTTGAATTAGTCATATAAACGTGTTCTTCCTGATATAATTTGTACTCATAAAAATGTCACCATGTCCTTTTTCAAATTCAGATTTATTTAGGAAATTATTGGGATGTTTACAAGAGTATTTAAGATAACGCTTTCTTCTTAAACTTATTTTTATTCTTCTTTATTGTAATTAATTAATACTTCATCTTTATGATCGATAAATATTACACGTTTCTAAACCATCCATTATAAGTTTTGACATGCTCTCAATATTACTTACAACTATGTTTCATCGGCTAATGCTGTTACTTTCGTCTAAACGTTTGTAACTAAAATTCGATAAAATATTAGTGTCATATTGAATCCAGAATTTCAGTTACAAACATTTAGAAGAAAGCATTTCAATCTTCCAGTTTGTATGCATCTTCTCAATGTTAAACTCTCTTGCACCCTCTTGCACGACATTATTTCGAATTTAATATCTACATGTAAGCCGAAAATTAAACATGTAAAATAAAATTAAATGCTATATAAACGATACACTAAATAAAAGTATTCAAATCAAAGATGGAAGGTTATTTTGCCGTTTTAAAATCAAATATATTACGTTAAGAACGTTGTAAAATGCGTAACGTTTAACCTGCACTTGTGATTTTATATTTAATATTTAGAATATTTTAAAAAGTGTTATCTTTTTCATATATTATTAATGAAAAAATTATTTAAATTCATCCTTTTTAACCCTCGAGTTTACTAGGTAGGCCTACTTATAAATTTGTATCTCGAATAGTTTCGTTGTTAATTTTTAAAAATTATAATTATATATATATATATGTGTGTGTGTGTGTCTAGTATTACGTTAATTATTCATAACACTAATAAAACTGAATAGTTAATAAATAAAATATTAATGCACGCAATTCTAGAATGTTTCCTTTAAGAAAAAAGAATAGAACCGGTTAGATTTTCTTTGTCTTGCTTTTCCTGTCACTGGCTTAACTATAATTATAAATACTCAATATTTAAGTCTCAATAAAGCATAAAAGAAAATTTTTCTCATCGTTTTTTTTTTTCATGTAAATGACTACTCAAGGTGTTATTATTATTCGTAATAATTCGTTTCTGTAGGACTATCACGCCATTGGTAACACGAAACCCATCATTGACAAAAAACAAGATTGGAATCTATTACGTTTTTATGAGAATGGTACTCATACTATGTTACGTTTTCAAAGAAAATTGGATACCTGCGACGATAAAGATCTACCCATCCCGGTAAAAATTTCTCTTCTTAATTAAAGTTTTTATTACTATAATTTTCATCGCGCCGTTTTTAAATAGGAGCAAACAGCACGAATCATCTATGCTTTTCACGAACAAGATCCCGATTCCGTTGATGAAATAATGTATCACGGTAGCAGAAATCGCGGAACTAAAAGTGTTTTACTATTAAAACCTCAGCAGAGTGATGATATAAAGCTTACGGATGATGTTCTTTCTTGGGATGTATTAACTCCGAACGTAAGATTTTTTTATTAAATTAATTGCATCATAAAAATCGAAAAAACTCGTACAGATTTAATCGTTATATGCAGGCAACTATCCCTGGGGATGTTGATACTATGTATTTCTGTTCGATTCATAAAGTACCTCCGTTAGATACGAAGCACCATATTATAAGAGTGAGTAGTAGTTTAATAAAAATGTTTTCCAATAGATATACAAATATTTAAGTTGATTCTTTTGCAGTCACAACCGATAATTCAACCTGGTAACGAACCTTACGTCCACCATCTGGTCCTTAATCTTTGTACAGTTGTTATTGAAAGCGAAATGGACAATCTATTGAATCAATATTATCCTTGTTATGAAAATTCTTGGATTAGACAATTCCAAAACTGTAATATAATCGTTTCTGCGTGGGGTGTAGGGGGAGAGGTAAATCATTTAACTCAACTGATTCTTTTTTTCGTAATGTAAAATAAACTTTATATTTATTAGGGAAACCTCTACCCAGATCATGTTGGAGTTCCGTTATATGGAAATTCGTATTATGTTCTCGAGATACATTACGACAATCCGAGCCTTACGAAAGGTAAGCATATGTTTAAGTCATTGTCTGAATAACTTGAACTCAGTGGCACGTTATAGCTTCGTGGGACCAGGCAAAATTTGGATTAGCGAGCTCCGTGCACTGTATAATGTTGACATTTTTCTTCAGTGGATTTTTTTGGGGAAAGATATTTTCTTACAAAACACTGATTGGAGGCTCCCTATTGTTGGGGACTCCAGACAATTGCCCTGTTTGCCCATTGAACTGTATAAAGCGCCGATTAAATATCAAACTAAAAACTAAAAAACAAATAACACTGTTTTAGTGTTATTTGTTTTTTTCTATCAGATTTGATATTTCGAAATCATTACCGTCTATAAACCACGTAAACAAAATTGTTGTAATGTTCTATCTTGTCGGAAAAAGTCTTTTATAGATGTGGTATACTGATGAAATCATATTTTCTATGGATTAAATAGCTTGATAATAAATCAAAATTAAACTATTTTTCAACTGATTACCAATAAAATTTCATTTTCTTAAGGTATTGTCGATAGTTCGGGACTAAGATTGTATTACACACCCAAATTACGAACTTACGATGCTGGAATACTATCGGTTGGTTCCATTTGGTATCCATGTGTTTTAATCCCTCCAAAGCAGAAGAAATTTATTGTTGCTGGTCATGGAGATCCAAAATGTTATGGTTCTGTAAGTGGCTTCATTCAATAAAATCTTTCTTAGTTTTATACTTAATCTTTTCGATTAAAAAACAAATCTAAGCATTTCTAATGTTAAGAATTTTAAGTACCACATGAAAATATTGAAAAATTTTCTGATTGTCTTTATTTTCAGAGTATTCCACCTGAAGGAATTTATGTATTATCGGTTTTTCTTCATTCACATTTATTAGGTGAATAATAAATCATGTCGATGGCCTATTAATCTTAGATTAATCACATTAACACATCTTTTAAATAATTACAGGAACACATTTAACTCTGCGGCATTTTCGGAATGGAAAAGAATTAAAGCCCATAGCTGAAGACAAGTATTACGATTTTAATTATCAGGTTGGCTAAATCCTTTTTTTGGTTATTAAACTTAAGAAGTCATTAATATAACTCAATCATTTGCCTTGTATTTTTATAAACAGGATGGGACCGTCCTATCCAAAGAGGTCAAAATTCTACCAGTAAGAAAAATTTTCTAGCTTTTTAGTCAATTTTTTTTTTAAAAATCTTGATAGTTAAATTTTTTTATTATTGTAATTATTAGTCTGATCATTTAACGGTGNACAATAAATTAAGTTAATATATAATTATATATACAGTACCTAATTTATATATAATTAATATATAGTTGTATGTGCAGTACCTAATTTATATATAATACTGTACAGACGATCGTAAACTCAATTTACCCGCCTAAACTCTCCGTAGCGTGGCGCTGGACGGCGGAAAGTAGTTCGGCTGCCCGATGACGTTTTACCGAATTATAGGAGTTTTTTTTACCAGGTTTGTACGGATATCGTCGCAATTTTTTCGCCGTCATATAGGAATCCGAACTATAGGTACCCGAACTATAGGAACCCGTGTTATAGGGGGGTCGACTGTACTGTGCCTGATCCCTCCATTGTATGATCCCGTTACAAGTAGTGTAACGATCGATAGGTGTAGTCAATAATGTGTTGCTGCCTTATACTAAAATTACAAATCTTACAACTTATATTCATTCTGTAATATCAAATGAAGTACAGTTTTATCGCTGAAACGTATATTTTAGGCTAATACCCACGAATTCATGTGTAAAAAGAATAATAAAATGCCCAGTAAAGAGAGCCCTTATTGGAAATTCTATTTATTCTTATGCAACATCAATGATAATATTAATTAAAGCACACATATTGAAGAATACTCACGTTTGACTGTCTGACTTCCCAATAATAGAGATCACTAGGATCTTCTGGTATTATATTCTTTCGATAGTTCAATAAAACAACGCTCTTGGTTCCTCTATTTTTTGGACCATGATATGAGATCTCACCCGTAGAACCAGGATTTTCGTCATTGTAGGCGAATATTAATCTCATAGTTTCATCCTATATATTATGCTTTCCTTCAGAAAACGTCACTAAATAGAATACCATTGATAAATCTTCTGTACTTACAGTTATATGTAAATCCTGTGAATCACAAGGAATGAGAAATCTTTTAAAACGAAACTTTGTATGCGTATCGGTCTGTTGATACCACAGAAGTTCCCAATCTTGATGGTCGTCAATTTCCGGAAGAAATTTCCCTCTGGCGTATCTGTCCTATAATATTTAGATTATAATCAGTATGTAGCCTAACTGTATATAACAGATTTATTACTTACTTGAACTAGTTATTTCTGTAGCATACAAAAGGGAAAAAGAATAAAATACTTATCAATATTTTCGGATATGTAAGAAGTGTCTCTGGATGCTGTCTTATTTTTTGTTTGCTTCACGGATACGTTATATTTGAATTTATGTTGTGTTGTGAAGCAATTGCGTAAGATCTTATTATAAACAATATTAAGTCTAATATATTTATTCCATATCTGTCATTGAGAGTCAATGTGAAGATCGGATTTGCGAGACCCCATGCAAAATTTCTTTTTGAAGGCCATTAAAATGAGAGTTTGAGGTAGAGAGTAGGTTTATTTAGATCTACAATATTATAAAATTTTTAATATAGAAACAGACAGTAAAACACACAATAAAATAAATAAAAATGCGTACAATAATTTTATATTAAACTGGAAAATTTAGTAGGTATACAGAAATTTATTTATAAAACTGTTTTCCTGCTTTTAGCAATGCTGAATTCATCAATTAGAATGGAAAAATCAATTTCTGAAGAAATATCTCTTTTAGTGGACAAGATTAAAAGTGAAGAAATTGTTAATCGGAGTTAGTTTCTGATCAATTTTAACTTTGATAATGATCATTCTACAGATTCAACAGATACCTGTACAGTTATATTTTCATTAATTACTAATTTGATGATATAAATACTAAAATATACTACCAAATTTGCGAATCCCATGAAAGCGCAAAGCTCTGGCGTCGCCATTTTTTTCGCCTTTATATAAGGCTCTTCTCTGGTTCATATTAAATCTGCTATACATGTACCGGTGTACATCTGAATAGATGAGCCTGTCCGATATACCTAAACGTGTGAATGATAAAACCGTTTTTTCAACCATACGTTTAGGTATACCGGACAAGGGGATCTGCTCAGGTTTATCTGTCAAGTATATCAGTACTGTACGTGTGTAGACGGCTTTGTAATATTCCATCCTTTTATATGTAAGGGGCGATCCAATTTAATATTATTTGGTACAGAATCAATTTTTAATGTTAATTTTTTAAAAAAACTCATACAAAACATTTTATTCTATTCGTTCCTCGTTTTAATTTTGAACAAAGTTAAAAAATGCAAGTAATATTATGATTTTTAAGTGTTAGAATTATATTATACTTATTTAAAAAACATTTTAGTTATAATATATACATTAAAGACAATCATAGATATATCATACATATACTAGTCCCTCGAGAGCTTATATAGGACTAGGGGATGATAAAACGAGCTCCTTTCATCTCTAGCCTTTTAATTCAACAAATGAAAAACATAGAATGTCTTTTATTAATAAAAAGCAGTCTTAAAAATTAGTAAAAATAACTTTAATTTTACAGAGGTAAGAACTGTAAACTCCCATGTTTTCTTCTGACCTGGCTTCCCCCTTTTTGACAGCCCCTCACATATAATGTAACATGTAGGCTATACAGATCGATTCCTGTAAAGTTTAATGCATATAAAATATTAATTATAGAAAATATATTTTATAACATATAAAAAGATAGTTTTATGTAATGTTTTTATACACCGAAAGCTGTCATTTTCTACTTATATTTCAACATAGGAGACAGACAAACCGAAAGCCATAATGTAGGCCTATGTTACAGAAATCTATAATTTGAGTTTTATATTATATGCTATTTTCGTTTTTATCATATCGAATGTACAAACCGGTCTTAGGAATGTTAAAAAGCATCAGGATGAATGTCAATGTCCTGTTTTATTCTCAGCATCTTTTGTAGAACAAAATATCGAATTACATCAAGTTAAATTAATGGATCTTTTGCAAAAATCTTCAAAAATAAATTCTTAAAATTAAAGAATTTAAATAAATCTCAATTATAAAAATTTAAATTAAAAATAAAATATAAATTTGAAATTACAAATTACGTTTTTAAAGAGTAAATAAAGTATTTAATTTTCTAAATATACAATTATACATTTAAAAATTTTAAATTAATAAATGTTTTTGTTAATAATTTATAATTAAATGATAATATTATTAATTAAAAATAATTTAACGTTATGAATATGAAATTATTTATAAATTGAAAAAATATTTAAATTGAATTAAAATATTTTAAGTACAGTAATTGAATTAATCAAACGATATAAATTTCTAAATATATGAAATTTCTAAATATGTAACTATATGAATATGAATATAAATAAAATCGTTATTAAAATATATTTAAATTGTGAACATTTAACCAATTGATTTTTCGATAGAAAAAATGGTTAATTTTTTCCAAAATCTTACGTTAAATGTGGCTTTTCCGTCGTTAATCCATCCGATGACCACGTCGCTACCTTCCATTCCACCATTTGGAGAAATTCCGAATCCAACCCATCCTCTAGTCGCAACTTCTACTTGAAAAGTAATAGATTCTTCGTCCGTCGACCACCAAATTTCGTAATTGTCGTCTAATTTTGAATGCCGATCGAAATTTTGTGCAGAAACCGTGAAGATGCACAACACTAGAAAAGCTAAAACGGACATTTTAAGTGTCAGAAACACTAAACAAATAACCAGTTCTAACCTGTAAGTGCATCATTTTTATTCAATTTTTATTATTTTTTTATATGTAATGTACATAAAAAATTAATTAAAGAGTATCTAATTTTACAAGTAAACAAACAACAATTGAATTTGAATAAAGTTCAAGTTTTTTTTTTCCTTCCTCTTAAAATTTTTCTGTTATTTAAATAAAAAAAATATACTATTGTAAAATTATAAGGTATGGTTTAAATTATTGATAATTTAATACATTTTTTTTTTATTTATTTATCGAAACCGGTTCATCTCATACGATTAAATTTAAATGGATCTTCAATGATATCGTCAATGTCGTTGTCCTTTTTGCGAACGAACTAAGCTCAGTATTTATAATAATACGTTTTAAATGATATGAAATTATTCCTTTAAATTATATTTTTAAAATGTATTTTTCTAAACGGATTTTTATAAAGTTAAAGGACACATTTATGCTTTAGCGTTGATGACATTGACCTTACATTCGCTATCAACAGTGTTTTATTATGTCAAGTTTTTATTTGCTCTCGAACCTCTGTGGAGTCATTTATTCGCTCTTTCACGCTCGTGTGAACTGCTATAAATCTGCTTTAAACAAATAATTGTCGCAAATGTCACGATATGTTCTAGTGTTTTGACCCTTATCGAATAACACTTTCTCTATTTCAATACATGATATATCGTTTCCTCTTTGGGCAAAATTGACGTCATTATAATAGCATCCAATGAAAGATTCAGATGTTTCACATGGATTTTGAACATCGAATGTGAAAAGTTGTAAAGATGCTTTGGTCTACGTATCATGTGTTATGTGTTGTATTTCTGGTGGTTGTCGATGGAAATGGTTGGATCAATCGTCTTCGTTTAGATAACAATGGAAATTATCATTTAGTATGGTTTTTAAGTGAAGACAGTATAACTTTCCAAGTGGAAGTAGCCACTAAAGGATGGGTTGGATTCGGAATATCTCCAAATGGTGGAATGGCAAACAGTGATATTGTCATAGGATGGGTTAAGGATAATCGAGCAGAATTTCATGTAAGTAATTTTCAGTTTATATATAATTTATAACAAACATTTCAAGTTTTTAATTTACAATTAAATAAAGCTATATGAAAAATGTTTAAATAAATTTAATAATTTAATTGTATAACACAAATATATCCTCGTAAAACAGAACTATTTCGTTTAATAATTATTTTATAAAACTATATTAAAATAAAAATTAGATAATAAAGTCAGTAAATTGTCACCGAATGCATCATTTTAAACAATTTTCTTTTCTGTTTTTAAGTTTTACAAATTCATCGTACAACTATGAGTTTATTACCTTAAATCAATGAAAGTAATAAACTTGTAATACGTATAATACAGGTCTGCAAGTAAAAAACTGCATGGGAATTTTATATATTTTCTTACAGATTTCAACTTGGTAAAAATGAAAAAAAAATACCAAAAAAATTCCATATCGTCAATTTTTTTTGTTACACTCAAGTTTTTGTTTGGTGCTTATCATAAAATTCATAGTTAACTTAAATTTTTTTAAATTTAAAAATTGGTCTTAAAATGAAGACTTCTCACATTAATTCCATCAATTATAGCTGGACTTGGTAATAAATAAATAAAAATGTTAATGGTTGAAAAGAGTAGTGGTAGGGGGAGGTGGGTTAAGTAGTTTTAGCATTAGAAGGTGAAGTGCCCATAAGACAG